TGGGAGGAGGAGGAGGGGGTCCACGACCTCCAGGTCCGTCACGACCGCCGGGTCCGTCACGACCGCCGGGTCCGTCACGACCACCGGGACCGTCACGACCACCGGGTCCGTCACGACCACCGGGTCCGTCACGACCACCGGGACCTCCACGGCCGCCCTGGCCGCCCTGTCCACCCTGTCCTCCACGGGGTCCTTCGCCTCCCTGGCGCTGGGCCTCCAGCATCAGGGCGAAGCCCACCACGCACAAAGCCTGTGACAAACAAAAATACAAACGAAAAAATATCAGAGGTCGTCTCCCTTGAAGCACTTCTGCAGGTTGCTGAAGGGCAGTGTCGGCGCTGAACACTCACCACAATCAGAATCCTCGACATGTTTTCGCTGAGAATGCTGTCTGGGGATCTGTCTTCTGCTTATATAAGAGCGTTGAAGCAATCCGGGGATGGTGTGCTCTCGATGACGTTTGTTATGCCAGGTGCATGTACGCACCGTACCGCGTTCCGCCTTGGTCCCGCACTGGTAACACTGGTGCGCTCGGGGTGGAGGTGGGCCACCTGCTACACGCAGCTGCCTGGCGGGCTCGCCTACCTAGAGCGTTGCAGGCGCTATCATGAGGATGTCGTGTTGGGCGACGGTAAATGCGGTGGAGTGAGCATTTCAACCACGCCAACGCACGTCTGCATCTGGTACAGTGCGACGAGAAAAAAAGGACGGCTTACAATACCCGCCCTGTACTTTCAATGTGTTGTTTACACATGGACTTGTTAAAAAACAATAAAGAAACATAACACAAATTTAATTTTGTGCTAAGGAATAAATCCGTTCTTTATGCTAAGGAAAAAATCCGTTCTTTAACTCAAATTATCGCCGGCTTATCGGGGAAGTGCGTCCGTCATCTGCCGTTACGAAATTGTAAAGTTTAGCCAAAATACAACATGTGTCATAGCGCCACATGTGGTGTTGTTAAACCACGAGTGAAAAAGATTGAATAATTAGCATGCAGTCAATAGCTTCCAATGGACACTGTGACCAGTTTTACGGACTTTGAAGGGGGAAACATAAGTTGAGAGGGCCCAAAATTACCCAAATTTTGACTTTGTCTGCGGTTTTTTTGGTTTGTTGGGGGTCAATAGGAGCATATCCTAGTGAGAAGTAGCTCTTTTTCAAACGAACGGAATGTTCCTATTAAAATACAAATTATGAAATTACTTGTTCAAATAGCATGATTGTAGTCCACATCATTCCCCCTCCTAGCGTTACAAGAAAGAAACTTATGGGACTCATATTGCCCCACTTAACCAAACAGTCTGTAATCAGATCTTGTCACACATAGACAGAAAAATAGCCATATGAACCAGAGCAAATATCTCAAAAATGTCTCGACCAGAATGCGTACACCTGGCATAACAGACGTCACCGAAAGCGCGCTGTCCCCGGGCGGACGGGTATATAAGCAGAAGACAGATCCCCAGACAGTATTCTCAGCGAAAACATGTCGAGAATTCTGATTGTGGTGAGTGCTCAGCGACGACACTGCACTGCAGCACCAGCAGTCAGTGAGAAATGCATGTCGAAACAATGTAGTTTCGACGTCGATTCGACCTGTTTTCCGTCGTTTCGATGTCGTTTCGACATCGATTCTACTTGTCATTTCTCATTAGGGTAGTGCAACCGCTTTCAAGGTAGACCATCTCTGATCGATTTTTGTTGTTTGTCACAGGCTTTATGTGTGGTGGGCTTCGCCCTGATGCTGGAGGCCCAGCGTCAGGGAGGCGAAGGACCCCGCGGAGGTCAGGGCGGCCAGGGCGGCCAGGGCGGCCAGGGCGGCCAGGGCGGCCGTAGAGGTCCCGGTGGTCGTGATGGACCCGGAGGCCGTGGAGGTCCCGGTGGTCGTGACGGACCCGGTGGTCGTGACGGACCCGGTGGTCGTGACGGACCCGGTGGTCGTGACGGACCCGGTGGTCGTGACGGACCCGGCGGTCGTGACGGACCCGGCGGTCGTGACGGACCTGGAGGTCGTGGACCCCCTCCTCCTCCTCCCAGCGGCAACGGCACCGCCCCTCCCCCTCCTCCTCCCGGCAACGGAACAGCCCCTCCCCCTCCTCCTCCCGGTCCCCCCGGTCCCCCCGGCGGCAACGGCACTGAGCCTGTTCCTCCCCCCGGTCCCCCCGGCGGCAACGGCACTGAGCCCGTCCCTCCTCCCGGCAACGGCACTGAGCCCCTCCCTCCCCCCGGCAACGGCACCGGCCCCATCCTGCCCCCCTGGGCTGACAACAGCACCGCCTCCGTCAACGTCACCCTCGACGCCTGAGGATCGACTCTGCCGGTTGACGACAGAATCGCCTTTGGAAGAAGACCTTCCCCAATCCATCGCCTGAGGGATTGCAAGATTGTTGAGATTGGCCAATAAAGAAAATTTTTCAAACAACTCCATCTGTCTTTTCTTTGCATTGTGCGTAAGACTGAAGGTGTTTCCCGTGGCTGACGCGCAAAAAAAAAATGCACAGTGATTTCTGAGGTAGTTCATCAGGACAGTCTGATGACGTCTGGAGCTCGGGACTGGTCTCGCCGTGGATGGTCCCGCTCAGGGGTGGCTCCTCCCACTCGCCCCCCACCCGGCCGGCCGCTGGTCCAGTGCGGTGCGGCCTGAGCCCGGAGGGGGCATGGGGGGTTCGCGGGGACGCGAGGGCGCGGGGGCGTGCGCACTGCGGGGCCAAGTCACGACGCGCACCCCTGTGAGGCGGACAACACGCTCAGCAGCTGTCGGCTCAGCACTGCAGGCAAGTCGGATCGCGGCCCAGCCCCGGAGAGGATCACGGGCCACGGGAGCGCGGCCAGCAACCAGCCCAGCCCGCCGCGACCAGTGAGTGCGCTCGCCGCCCGCCCTGCCGCTGGTCTCCGTAACAAGCCCTTCTCGACTTTGCCCGTGCCTATGTCCACAGGCTGCCCGCAGGCGATGGGTCCCCGCTGCGCCAGGGTCGCCCGGGTGCTGCTGGTGTTCCTATGCCTGCAGCTTGTCGCCAGGAGCCTCGCCGACAACGGCTGGAAGCGACCCGGCTGCCACCGCGTTGGTGAGTTCTCTTGGCTTTCGCACATTTCTCTTCTTTTGTTTTTCTTCAATCCCGTCAAATTTGGCTGAGTGTTACGTCTTGGTGCAGGCCACACGCGCAAGATTAGCATCCCCGACTGCGTCGAGTTCCACATCACGACCAACGCGTGCCGGGGCTTCTGCGAGTCTTGGAGCATTCCGTCGGCCCTGGAGACTCTCCTCGTGAACCCGCACCAGCCCGTCACCAGCGTGGGCGAGTGCTGCAACATCATGGACACGGAGGACGTGAGTACCCCTCAATGTCGCGATCAGCAATGTCGCGATCAGATGACGTGCCCGGTAAACACTGGTGTGTGAATGTTACACACTTGCAGTTGTGTAAACGACATTCGTACTCATGGAGGCACAAGTGTCTGAATTATTTCCGAGGAAAATTTTCACCTTTATTCCCTTAAGTGTACGAATGGGCATTCACACACCCACAAGTGTGTGACATTTACATACTTCCGTTTCCGGTGAACCACTCGCTCTCCTCTCACCGGGCATATCGCGTCTTCTATCGCAGGTGACGGTGCGCGTTATGTGCCTGAACGGCTTCCGGGAGCTCACCTTCAAATCGGCCAAGAGCTGTCTGTGCTACCACTGCAAGAAGGATTGACCCTTGGGGGCGTAGGTGAGGCGGCCACGACACATCCGGCGGACGACACCTTTGCCCACCTACACGCACCGTACCTTAAGCACCAGTACATCACCACTACCATCACCACCACCGTCACCACCTTCCACACGTCCAGCGCGTGGCAGCTGACGACCTGTTATTCAACATGTCGTTCAACGCAAATAAAAAAAAAACTACGTCTGTAAAGAGAGACGCTTTTATTTCTACCCTGGTGACAGTGAGTTCTCTAGACAGTGGCTGGTTGCATGTTTTCACTTCCAAAGTGCGCATTAGATTTACACTCTAAATTTGTGTGTATGAGTGCGTGTTTTTTTGTTTTGTTTTTGAGAATGGTGTTTGGTGTCTGTTATTTGCACTCTTGAAATGACAGAGTAGTTGACTATCAGTCAAAATTTTTGGCGATTTTTTTTCCACTCTCTTGGTCCTTATTAAATTAATGCTTAGAGCAAATATTCTGTTCCAAGTCGAGCGTCGTTATTGTACTTACATGACTTTCTGCTTCAAGTATATTTGAATTCCAACCCTAAAGATGCGCCAAGGCCAAAACGCACTTGCTACATCCACGCCAAGTTGAGTTCAGTACGCGTCTTGTTTGTTATTTATGTAGTTTTAGGAATTATTCGACACTTAAGTGTGCATTTGGGCCAACGCAGTGTTTGTTCAACTGCTCTGTGCGACCTGCACTTAGCGGCAGGTGCTGCACCTGGTCCGCCTGACTTACAAGTGAAAGACTGAGAGAGCACAATGGTTCGGTGTAAACAAGAGTTTCGTCGAGTCGGCATCAGAAATAATAAAACACACTTTGGATGCAATGCACGCGGGAACTAACGCTGATAGCGAACCTTGAGATGGGATTAGACGTTTGCACTTATTCTTGATACGATTTATTTGATATTTAATAGACAGTGTCTCCTCGTCTGTTATGAAACTTAGAAACGCATGTACTGTACAAAGCGGAAACTCTAGGAACCTCTTCCACTGTATATGGCGTGTTGCGCACGCCGCTACGATATTTTCACAAATGTTGCTTCACGATACGATGAATCGGTTTGTTTCTCCTTTTGGCGATGTGGTATAGTATTTGCGATATTAACAAACTGAAGGAAAAAGTAGAGTGGCAGCCTTCTGTAGGGGAACTGCCAATGATAAATCGCTATATGACTGTAGTATTTGGAAGAAATAAAATAAATCCACTCTAGGTGACACGCGTTTTTATTTTTTTTTTACTTCACTTTCAGTACCTCCCATTTCTCACTCACCAACACAACATCGCACGCGCGCGCGCGCCTGCACAACAGACAGACAAACAGACAGACAGACAGACAGACAGACAGACAGACAGACAGACAGACAGACAGACAGACAGACAGACAGGCATTAGTTGAGAGAGTTAATTGCGTCATCCAAACCAGATCATGCAGGGTAAGCTGTTATCCGGAAGCATTAGTTCCTGCAGCTAATATTTGACTCCCACTACAAAAGTTTCACTCTAAACTGGTTGGCGTCTTTTAACGCCAAAGAATTGGCGTTCTGTAATAACGCCAGAAGTTGGCGTTCAAAGACGCCAACATTTGGCGTTCGAAGGAGAAGAACGCCAATATTTGGCGTTAAAAGACGCCAATATTTGGCGTTTTTCGGAAAAGAACGCCAATATTTGGCGTTTTTCGGAAAAGAACGCCAATATTTGGCGTTCTTTAAAGGACGCCAATAATTTGGCGTTAAATGACGCCAACCATTTTACAGTGTTAGCTTTGACAGCTTAAAATTTAGATAGTTTCTGGACAGCAAACATTTAGCTAGTGCAACTGAGTTTTTTTTTCGTGCAGACGGAGAAAGAGAGGGAGAGAGAGGGAGAGAGCGAGAAAGAGAAATTGAAATTGAAATTGAAATAATTTTTATTTAAGGACTTCACACAAAAGGGCTAAGTCCGAGAGAGAGGAGGGGGAGGGAGGGAGGGAGAGAGAGAGAGAGAGAGTGAGAGAGAGAGAGAGAGAGAGAGAGAGGCGTGTCA